TTAACATTAGCTATTATCGCTTTCTGATCTGAAGAGGAAACTGGATTCTGGTCTGTTTCATCTACACCAACTTTCTGTGACTGTTCACTTCTACTCTCCTTGGTTGTGAGGTTAAAGCTGTGGTTCTGGGGATGACAGCCGTCCTTCCCTTCCTCTACTTCTTCATCTTCTCAGTTCAACACTTCAATCACACATTTGCTATTCATTTAGAGATTATTTTTTATTTTAGAAGAAGCAGAAATCTCCTCTTGGCAAACAAACTGTTTTCTTCTCCTTAGAGCAGTTTCATTTAAGTGGCTTTAATGTTTCCTTCAATACCACAGAGAAGAGCAAATCAAGGCATGTGTGTGTGTGTGTGTGTCTATGCTAAAATACCCTTCTGGCCTCTTCAGATAATCATTTTACTAAATGTTAGCTAACATTTAGCTTTTTGGTTTCATTGATGTCCTTTTAACTCTATACTGAACTAATGTTTGACTTCTTTGGCTAATATTTAGCTGAAGTTAAATTAGTAAGTTTGTAATGATATTTGATAATTTTTGTCTGTAATGTTTTGTCCTAATTTATCTTCTGTCCTAACTACTTCTGTGTGTGAAGTACCGCCTATAAATTAATTAAATTCCAAAAGTGTATCTTCATTTATTCTGGTACCGTCTAACTCTTGACCTGTCTTATTTGGACATGACAAACGTGTCCTCGCTGGTGGGGGACAGGTTTCTTCTCTCTGTGGTCCCACAAGTCAAGGCCTTGTGTTGGTTTGGACGAGACCTGAAACCAGTTACTGAGGTCATAAGGTCATGGAGATGTTAAAGGATGTTATAAATCCAGTGATCAGGAGCTGGAGTTACTTTGCAGTCGACTGATCTGGAGGTTTTCAGAGCAGCAGTAGCTGAGAAGCTGCAGCAATAAAAACATGAATCACAATTACTCTGGAACAACTGTAAAGTGTGTGAGTGTGTGTTGCAAGTACAGCTCTATTCTTCCTGCTCTAATTGACAGCTTTTTCTCTCAGTGAGACTTTTAAAGACAAGGCTTTAACAACTATTTTACTGTTGTTGCTGCTGCTGCTGCTGCTGATGATGATGATGATGATGATGATGATGATGATGATGATGTTGCTTCTGTTACACCAGCCTTTGCCAAGTGCTTTTTAATTCTCTTTATTCTGAAATTAAATTTTATAATGATTTTTATAAAAAAAACTTAAAAACAAACAGCTCAGAGTCTCCGAGTCACAGCTGGAGCTGATAGGGCTGAGACTGAAATAGTTTTTTCTCAGGAAAACTGGGTAAAAACCAAGTGTTGTTAAAAAAGTAAAACTGCCTTTCAGTCCTAACACATGAGCTATAATTGTTGTTTTAAGTGTTTTAAAACAGAAAAGGAGGAATGTTTCTCTCCCGGAAAACATACATGTTATGAGAGCTGAGACGGTTATGTATATTAATATAAATATGGTAAAAACAAAAACTTGATTTAAAGAGTTAAAAATTAAACCTGAGGTTTCACATTCAGATAAGTTTCCGTCGATTTTTTTTTTTAAATTTTATTTCACTTATTTGATGTGTGGTTTCATTCTGTTCTTTCTTTGAGAAACCAGAGAGAAACGGCCAAACATCCCCACCTAGTGGCCACTCTGCGATCTCCTGTGCACAGAGACCAGACGTGAGTACAATTTAGTCTGTTTTTGTTTAGAACACATAAAAGTCCAAGACTTAAGAATTCAACTGAATTTAAGATTTCCAACACTACGGCCCACGTGGACTGCTGAATGGTCTGGCCCTTTAATATGACAGAGACACAGGTCCCAGCACTGATGACAAGAACAGTCAGAAAATCAGAACTGGTCTATTTCGACTGTTTGGATGAAGTCCAGTAGGTGTGGTTAAAGTGAAAGAAATGAGAAACGAAGACGACCAAAGAGACGGAGTCAAACCAGGATTAACATCATTTATTACAACACCTGTGATTAATTCATTAAATGATGACTCTTCATATGAACAGAAAACTCAGATTCAAGTTCAAACAGAAGTTAAGTCCAGTACCTGGTCATGTCCTGTGCAGCGTCTTACATTCAGAGGAAGAAATAAAATTTACTGTATATAAAAAGAATAAAACTCTTGTTCTAGGATTAAATAAATAAATAACATTAAAAGTAACTCCAAACAAATTTTTATCTATATATGTGTATGTAATTATATACACATATATAAATAAACCATTAACTCTGTCAAGTATAAATGATGATATATTTCATGGAGTTCATGGGTTGCCTTTGAACCACACTTTCATTGATGGAGATCATTTGATGACTTTGATGACAATTTAATGGCTTTATTTGATTGATTTGATAATAATGTGATTTCAAGCTTTTCATTTGATTGCATAACGAATGTAAAAACGAGAAGTACAGTAGGCCTATGTCACTCTGTCTGTCGTGGAACAACTGACAGAGTTCAAAGTTCACACAGACTGAACTCCTGTTGCAGTATCTGAAACACTGAACAACATCGGACACAGTCAGGTCACGTTCATTTGTGTTCCTGAATCTGATCGATGTTTGCCACAGATACTTCAGTCTGAATGTCTCATTTCATCAGACCGTTACGTCACTGAAGTGAGACAGACTAGTCTGCACCAATTTTTAAAGGGAAAAAAAACATGGCCAACAGTGTTGATGGAGCTACTCAGTGGAAAGTATAACTGTCACTCACCCCCCAGACAAGGGTTGGTGACTGGAAATATGGCCTCAGCAGGCATCATCACAGCAGTCAGACCGTGCCCCACAACAACCCCATCCACAGGGTGGGTGGAGTTCCTCTGAATAATGAAGAAGCAATCAAACTGATTTGATTTAAATTTTATCGGACCCCTAACGCGCTGACATGGGTAGCATGGATATTTACTGTTGAAGTCTGCTGGAGGTCACTGTTAAATGATAACGTCAACAACCACACAGGAAAACCTGATCTCAGTGAAGAATGGGAATTAAGCATAAAGAGCTGCGGTCTGAAGGTGGTCCAACAGTCGGACCCCAAGGTCTCTTTAGACACCCCTCATTTCCCTGCCAATTAATCGGACCCTGCCCACCAAGAGCCCACTTACATCTGGTATCAACATATGGCCTAGCTGACCTGGTCCAGGCAACATGGTCCTACAGCAGTGTGTCTGTGACCACATCAGATCAGATGAGTGTCCTCATTTGTATGAAAATAGCGACCCCTGCCTCAGGTCAGAGGATGTCGGCTGAAGCTGAGGACACACTACAAGAGTAGAGAGTCTTTCAGATTGAGGATTGTGAACAGTGAGACACAGTGAGACAGGAGCACAGAGGTGGAGGAGAGAGTGATGGAGCTGTAGCTAAAACACTACTGTCTATAGAAGATCTGGACAAACTACGGCCAGAGGGCCAGATACGGCCCACTGGGCTTTCTAATTCGGCCCACCAAACACTGGTACAAGGTGCTGTAAAGACCGATGTCAATCCTTGCTTCATGCAATACAACAAATCAACTGTAACTTCAGTTGATGCCGCTAGATGGCGGCAGACATCAAATGTGCCATAATATCTTTCAAAGTTTAGGTTTATTTTTTTAACATTTTATTTATATTATTTTGCCCAACTTTCAACATCCAACCAACACTGAACCAGTTCACCTGTCAAATTGTGGACCTTATTTTGACCTGTAACCCAAAATGTGTCCCACTGGTCTGTACAATGTTGTTGTAATGTCAGCAGGATTTGATGTGTTCACTTGATCTGACATCTGTGTGCCTTTCATCAGACACATTTGTTAATTGCCTTAATTAACACCTGTGAAGACTCTTACAGTGTTAGAGTGTGTCCTCAGCTTGAGTAGAGCCCATCACGTGTTAGTACTCGCTCTTGGTGAACACCAAACATAAATCTCTCATTGATTTATTTCTACTAAAGCTAATATTTCTCTATATAAAATTATTTGTGCAAAACTCTTGCATCCATTGTTTAAATCCACACACAAAAACATTGTACAACCAAGAAGTGTCCGAACTTGGCTGTAAATATACAACCAGTACTGAAGACACCTGGACGTATTTTGCCAAACGCTTTGACGTTGAATGTGCTATATATACATAAACAACTGCAAGAATTACATCAGGATTAACATGTTGCATAAAATATGTGTTCTTCTAGTGCACTGTCACCTCTGCTCCTCAAACTCCACAGGAATTCTTTCTAAAATTCTCACCCTGAGTCCATTTATGTGAATCAAATACACAAAACTGTGGACAAGTTTGGGACAGAGACATGAGTTAGACCATTTAACCGTGGATTAAACCATATTCTTGGAGACATTTCCAGGATGGATCACTGTTTCCACTACAGGACTGCAGCTCTGGCCGCCAACAGATTTATGACTGATGTATTTGATGTTCCTTAATTTCCAAAAGGGAACTCTTTGAAAAGTTCTTGGTACTTTTGTGGTTGTCCAACAAAAGCCACTTGATATAAACACTGTGTGTTCTTTTCATCTAGTTCATGCACTTTGACTCATTGGCCCCAACTCAAAATTCTGTCCTGACTGAGACAGAAATCCTGTTTGTGGAACTAGTCCATCTCTTGACACCAGACTGTTGACCCTCTTCAGGCCAAGTCAGACCTGCTGGTCCAGACAGCACTTCTGTGAAGATGGGCTGGTACATACACAGAAACACACACACACACACACACAC